GAAAGTTGGACCTCTCACTTTTCTCTCTTTAAATATAGGGAAATATGCACAAATAAAACCGGTTACAAACTTCGAATCATACTAAAACTGGAGGAACACTAAGCAGACAATTAAGCCGCTACAACCACAGTCTACACGGCTCATTTATCTGTCTTGTGCTCCCACCCACAATCATGATTGGACTATGTGCATATTGGTACCGTTCAAGGGTATATCAGCAACAATAACGGTCCTCAAAATGGTAGCGGTAGTTGTGCGTTTGTGTTGATAACAGTGACGCTTGTAATTACAGTCGGGGTTCAATGATGATTGTGGGTGGTCGTATTGACTATGAAGGGGGTGCTGGTGATAGTAGTAGTGGATACAACAGAAATTACAGTGACAGAAGCAATGACGGGTGGTGATAGCCATTTGAGTATTAATGGTAGCAGATACGAGTTAAAGAACCTAGAGTCCATGTCGGCACCCCCTCAATCACAAGGAAAAGAATAGGACCTACATAAGTTGCAGAAGAAGAAATCTTACCCCAGGGCTCCATTGCACAGAATTGATATCCATGTCATGGGCATTCTCCTTCCTCAAAAGCAATTTATACGAAGGTCCATCAACCTGAATGAAAACACACAATTCGGTAACTTAATACTCTCCAAACCAGATAAGCAAATAATAGAGCCACTCCAATCATCTAGCACTTGATGAGCTTGCTACTAGCATCTGCGTACGAATCAGAAGTAAACACAAATTTAGAGATCGAAAACCTAGCCGAGTGATTCCGGAAAGGGGACTATATGTCTAAAAAGCATTAGATTAACTGATCCACGCCAAGCTCTAGATATATATTTAGGGTGGTGCTATCCACAACCCCTATTTACTCCCACACACCCCCCCTGTTAATCTCTGTCCTTTGATCTTATTCAATTCATTCCATCTAACATCCGGAATTGAGGAGTATGTGAATATAAAAAGAGGTGTGTGGCATCACCTATATTTATTCGCAGTTTACCATCAGATGCATGCAGAATCGCAGATATTAAGGCATACGAAACAAATTCTGGAATAATCAATGTGGGTTAAAGATTATGACATACCAAACCATCTTGATCATCGTTCTCCACAAAAAATCTTATGGCATCATCAGCAGCTCCACTGGCTATGATATTGTCCCTGTCAATTTTCAATCAACTATAAATCAATATTCGGGATAAATCCAAATCTTATTTGGTGAATCAAATAATAAATTAACTAGCCTAGTTAACTCAATCAAATCAATGTGGCCATGTTTAGTGTATACTTTACCCAGATTAATATACTATCTTATACCGAATAAAAGATTGTAAGAATATTCAGTAAACTACCAAATTAAACAGCTCATCTTGATTCTTTCCTGTGTTTTATAATCTTGACTACAAACCCTCAACTGTTGGGACTATTTCTTTGGTTCTATTACCTTGACCAATGAACTGAAAATATTGTCCGGTCATGATAACCTGAAAGAGTGCAAAGATGTCGCCTGAAAAACCAAAAAGAACGAAGCATCTTGTCAGTACAATTACAACAAATGAATTACAGCTAACCGTCAGCACCCTATTAATCCAATTACTAATTACCGAATTAAGTTCAATAATATCTTTCTCTTGTTATAAAACATAATTACATTGTCTCTTTTTGTAGAAAATATAAACTGTTTCAAATTCATGCATGTTTACATAAGAGTGACAGTGGATGGTGCATGCGTCAGGATGCGTGAGTGTTCAAAAGTACAGAAAGACTACATGAGGAACTCAAAGTAAAAAGTACATAAAACAAACAAAAAGAAGTATAGAACTATATGAATATCAAAGAGAGAGAGAGAGAGAGAGAGAGAGAGAGAGAGAGAGAGAGAGATAAAATACTCAACTTTTTTTAAATAATTCCCAAAAGCGAAAAACCAATTTCACGTATGGATTCTTAAAAAAGTAAAGAAGTACTCCTAATGCTACTCACCAAGGTGCAAAGCCATCAGCAGACATCTTTGCATCGTCTGATCCCCATATCTTTAAAGTAAGATCATCACTGCAAAATCAGTACATTGTTATTTATTTCTTCAATTTTTGTTTTTCATAGATGTTCTTACAAATGATGTTTTAGTATCCAAACCAAGCAAACATTAAAATGAGATATCTTTTCTGCATACCTGCAGGTGACCATTTTGTCTCCACTGGCATTAAACGATAGAGCCCAGATGGTAGAAGAGTGACCACTAACAAGAAAACCGATGAGCTAAATTAGAGTAAAATGGTATATTTTAGTAAAAAGTGCCAGCAATACTGCAAACTCAACTGGTGTAGAACCATGTATTACATTCAACAAAAAATCTCCTGCATTCCTAAGATAGGAAGAGGTCGCACTTGGTGCGATGGCAAGTGCCTTCGCCCATGAGCGGTAGGTCTCGGGTTCGAGACTTGAGAGCAGCCTCTCCATAAATGGGGGTAAGGCTAGCCGACATTCACCTCTCCCAGACCCTGCGTAAAGCGGGAGCCTTGTGCACTGGGTACGACCTTTATTCCTAAGATAGGACCATATTTATTTTAAATTATATATGAACAGCTGGGATGCATTGCATCCACTGCACATTCTAGTCGTCCATATCTAATCAATCAGAGAAACATGACCTCATCTAAGGAAAAACTGCTTATGAGTGAACACACGCACAAGGTTATGGAATATTTACTTAAAGAGAACAATCTGAAGAAAGAAGGATGATACAGAAAATTTCAAGATCTAAAGAGGCTACGACGTAGTACTTGTTAGTTTCACCTAATGTCTGAACACACGCCCAATCATCATCATCACCATCATCTGCCCATATCTGCAAGAAACATTGTACTGAATCATAAAAACTCTGAGGAAGCCCAATCTTCTTGATACATAATGAAAGAAAAAAAAAAGTAACCATTTTTGTAGGACAGTGGTAGGGATAGTAAAAGCACTTAAAAGTTCTAAGCTTTTACCTTGACAGTGTTATCATAGCTACAAGAAAATATAAGATTCCTAGTGGGATGCCACTGAACCATCTTCACATCCTGTGTATGGCCTTGCAACACTGAAACACAGTCGAACTCATTCCCGGGTAGCGCTTCCCATACCCATACAGTTTTATCCCGCCCGCAAGTCGTAAGCATAGACCCAGATGGATTCCAACACACACTTTTCACTTCGTTTTCATGACCCTAATACACACACACACACACAAAAATGCCTTTTCACTTTACTAACAAAAACCAAAATAACCCAACTTGCAAAATCGACAATTTATGCAAAGCAATAGTCTTTCAATGCCATTAACAAAATACCATCTTTACTAACACAAATCAAAAGATCCCAACTTGTAAAAAAAATTGACCAATTTATCTAAAGCAAGATTCTTTTACTATTTGCAAACCTCTAGACTGGCAACACATTCGTAATCGCCTCCAACATTTTCCCAAATTGCAGTGGTGGCATCGAAGCTTGCAGTGGCCAATAACTTCCCAGATGGGGACCAAGCGCACGATCGGACGGTTCTGGTGTGCGTTTCATCCAGAACTGCCTGCAACCCATAAAAATTCCATTAAGAACCGACCCATTTAACAAAAAAATGGAAATATTAAATAAAATTAGATGAAAAGATGGGTCACCTTACAATCCCAAGAAGAAGTGGATAGGTTTTGTTCCCAAATACGAACGGTCTTATCGCCGCTGCAGGAAGCGAAGGAAAGGGGAATTCCGGCGACACCGGTGGCCGGATTCCAGGCGAGGCTCCAGACCCTATCAGTGTGGCCCTCTAGCTTCTGAATCTCTCGCAGCTCTTTTGCTAACTCCATGGCCAAGTGAGGCTTTGAGCTATGAGGAGTAGGCGAGGCAGAGGATTTGACTGTGCGAATGCTGTCTGTGTTGAGTGTTCTACGAGGGTACTACATTAGTCACGGGCAAAACAGTCCTTCTGGCAAAGTAACACGTAGTTTCCTTTAATTTCATTTCGACTTTGATTACAAGTGAACTTCCAATTTGAGTTCGAACTCCACACTCGCATGTTTAAAAGCCACCATTTTGTTTTGGCAGACCGTTTGATTTAGGAGGTCAAAAGTAACGATGCTGCCTTATGTGGTAAGGCTCTTTTAGACTTATTAAGAATATATAATTGTTTCTTTACGATTTTAGTATAGATAATAACGTTCGTTAAAGAAAAATATATACATAATTTATGGACCTAATAGATGGGCCTGAAGAGAGCAACCTAAAGGATGAGAAGACCAAGAAATTAAGCCTACAAGCCAGCCCAGGAAACTCAATAGATAGAGTGCAAAACCTAAAGTACGAAACCTAAAGTACTTTCCCATTACTCCTTCTTGGCATGGAATTTTAAGGACAAGTCTGCTCAGACGTTTAACTTCAGGCCACACGTTGGTATTAATGGGAAAAGACGTCTATCAAAAGACATAAATGTTGTCAGCCTAGCACTCAGCTAAAGTGCCTTCCAACCACTCATGGACGAACGTTGCACTCAATGCATGTCGATCCAAGAAGCCATGCAAATAGCCTTGTGCAGTCGCTATCTCTCCACATGTTAAATGAACAGTGGAGAAGTAGCTTATAGGTCGTGCTTACGCATTCGACCTATTAAATGGTAAGGCAGTAAGAGAAATAAAGGAGACGAATACCCCTTAATAAATTGTCGGATCAACGGAAGGAAAATTACATTACATTATTTTAAAGCACTCTTATAACCCACATCAAATATATATTAAATCACTATAATGGACGTAGCCCATATTTAGGAATAAACCACTTAAATCGTTTTGCTCACAATCTCGCCTTTGTTTTAAAAGCTGGTACACCACTAAATTGAAAAATAATTCAAACTTACGAGGCAGTGATTTGAAGACGAAAACTCCATTGAGACAAAATTTCCATTGAAAAATTAACTTATAAGCCTACATGGACCAGTACCTTCAGAGCCCACAACAGCCGGTCCGACCGACCCGCCCCAAACCGTTCCAACACTCTAGCGGACCGCTCCGAGCAACCCGGTTCTCAAATCCAAACACAATATTACAGAACCCAAATCCCTTTCCCATTTCCACGACGCAAGAGCTCTGACCAAAATCTTCCGCCTCGCAGCTCAGATCAGAAGCAACCGGAAACAGATTCGCGCAGATCGCCATGGATTCAGCGGCCCGAAGGAGCGGCGGTGGACTCTTCGAAGGCCTTTACAGGGTCATCATGCGCCGCAACTCCGTCTACGTCACCTTCGTCATCGCCGGCGCCTTCCTCGGCGAGCGGGTGAGCATCTTAAAAGTTTTTAGATTACGGTTTCCCTCACTGAACCTCTCGTTTCAGATTATTTTTGTTCCCTGTTGTTTTCTGTTTGGTTGGTAGGAAAATCTGAGGAAATTAAAGGTGACTGATTTGCGATTAGGTCAATTTAGTCTAGCAGAAAGCTCAGGAATTTCAATTGTGTTTATGGTATTTTGTTGAATTGGTCTTGTGATTAAACGGGAGCGGCTATATTTTTATTGTGTTGGTGAAAAATGGGTGAAATTTGATATTTGTTTATTGCCATTTAGTAATAAATTTTTGGTAATTAATTTTATAGATCTAATTTCATTAATTGGTTTCATATATGTTCATATATTCAACGCTCGTAAAGATGAAAAGTTGCTAAATTGATCAAGTTGAGGGTCATATATATAGTGGAACTATCGAGATTCAAAATCTTGGCACTTTGGTTTATGATTTCATATTATCTCATATGCGCAATGCCCGTAAGGACGTAGAGTTGCTAACTGGAGACATTACTGGATTTGCATTGCTTGGAACTTTACATTTCAGGTGTTTTTTTTTCTTCTGAGTTTTGGGGTGTATGCATGTTTCTGAATGAGTTTTTCATTCCTTGCTGAATTTGTTTCTTATGATTAGCCTCTATCTTCTATTTGACTTATGTTGTTTTGTGAAAGAAGAACGAACGTCATAGTGTTCTTATGTATTTGATTTGCTGGTTTCAGGCTGTAGATTATGGAGTTCATAAGCTGTGGGAGTACAATAATGTTGGGGTATGTGAACTTTTCTTTAGTTTTATTTACACATGGTGGTTTGCGTGCACTTACTCCGTGTATATTAGAATTTATGTATTTCCAGTTTGATGGAAACACTTGAAGAATGCTATGTACTATTGTGCCCATGTGCTATTTTCTATATTAGATACAGATGGAATATCAAAATTGTAAATTGCTTTTATATATTTTCCCTTCTGTAAATACATGCTGATTTTTTATTTTTCCTAAAGACAAAACTTTTGCCCATGGCTGGATGTTCTGTATACCTTATTTGGTCGAGCATGTATGCTTGTTTGGATTGTTCATTGGGTCTGGACCTACATGCTTTGGAGAGAGTTTAGGTGGTGCTGGTTATAGATGTATTTCCTAATTTGTTTTTCGAGGGAATGTTTATCTGGCATTTGTTGCTCTTCCTTACCTATGTCGAACGGATGGGAATTTTCGTGAGTCTGGCCGCTGGCCACAGTTGGGATGGATTGTCACTTTCCACATCTATATAGACATGTATATTGTTCTACTCATGTCTTCAGTGCAGTTGAGATTCTTCGTTGGTAGTAATTGTTTACGACATTCTGTACACATTGAATGTACTTTTAAAATTTCTCAATTTTGATCGGTCTACTGGACAATGTCACAAGTTTAAAATCGGAACTGTTTATTTTCTCTTTTATGCAGAAACGATATGAAGATATTTCAGTTCTGGGGACAAGGCAATCGGAAGAATGAGATTACCAACGCTTCTCTTCGACAATTCTAAAGTTTTCATACTCTTGGAAAGTTGGACCGTGCAAATTATGCTTTAGGTAGGACTTCTCATTTTTGTAATAAAGTATGGGCGGATTCAGCTTATCTATCAACCTTCCATTCAACGAAAGTGTTTATGAAGTGTCGAATCTGTTGTGCACGGCCACATTGACTTGATTCTGTCAATGGTTATTGTTTATTTCTGAGATTTTGATCCCTTTTGCCTTATGATTTGTGTTATCTCCTGTTATTTTGTTTAACAAAATCATGATTAGTCAGTTTAGCGAAGTTAAACGAAAAACTCGACAAACTGTAACAAAGGAGAAATTATAAACTAGAAAGGGAACAAAGAAATTTGCACTGGAATGTAAGGTTGTTCTGCTCACTCTTGGCTTTGTCTACATGAACGAGTGCCACAGAGCTATATTTTCCGATTTTGTGATCCTTCTTATTTTTTTGTGTAGCTTTCTTTCTTTTAGTTCTCCCAATTTTAACTAACCTTTTGACACATCAACACAAGATAGGGAAGAAAAGAAAACAGTGAAGAAAAATATTAATGAATTATTATTGTGTCTTGGTAATACTACAAGTTATAAGCCCGGATTTGTAACTAAGCAGGGCATTACATTGATTGGTTGTATGGATGATAAGTCAATTAGGTGAGAAATCCATTTTACCTCTCGTTGAGGTCAAATTAAATTAAGGACGGCCTTAACCCTCGGGTTAGAATATCAAACCCTTACGATGGCAACTGAAAGCAGCCAATAAATTATTTGGTGTTCTTTTTTATGTTTAGATTTAGTTTTATGCCTCGCTATCTTTGAGTCATTGATTCAGTCGATATACTTCCTATGACGTGCTAATTCTTTTGAGGTAACCGGAACTTGGTATACAAACGAACTAGAGGAAGAAAAAATGTCTCCATGAAGGACCAAGTCCAGCTCAGCCTAAAAGTCCCCCAACAAGCTGTAATATCTATGGTTTTACTTTTATTTGTAAAATTTCATCAAATCCTCAATCGACAATTTATGTCCTCCGTTCATTCAACGACGTTGATTGCACATGATCAATTGTTTAACTTTGGGTTCAAACAGTAACGTTAATCATTTTAATTGACTTTTAACAATAACAAAATTTAAATTTCAAGGACTTAGGTGTGATACAAGTTAAATATCGTGGGGTGTTGATGGAAATAAGTAAAAGTCAGAGTATAAAGATAAAACCTAGAAATATAGGGATTCGAAGGAAAATATCAAAAATAGACAAAGGCGTAGCAAGCAGCTAGGGTTTTATAAAAGCCCCGAAGTCTCTTCACCATTTAGCGCGGCAGTCCCGAAATCCAGTTCTAGGGTTTCCTTCTTCAGGTAGCCTCCGCCGCCACTAGGGTTTTCTCATCTCATCATTCTGTGCATTCTGTATTGCGACCTCACTAAAATTTTCGCTTCATTATTCTGATTTTGTAGGAAGTTTTTTCGCAGCGAGGACAAGGATCTAACTAACCATGAGGTAATTTCATTTTCTCCCCCTGTTCTTTGTTCATCAGATTGTAACTAGTTTTGGGTTATTGATCGATTTGGATTTTAATTGAATTTTTGGTGTTTTTAGAAACCAAAATCTCAAATTTTTGTTCATTTATTAGCATGTTGCTTGAATCCCTTGCTGTTTATTTGTCTTAATCTGGTTTTGCGAAGTGTTTACTGGCTAGAAATTGTGATTAGGGATTTAATACTCGTAAATCTGTAGTCTGGGAGGAATATCTGGCGTAGTTTTTACAGAGAGCGGTGTGGTTTGATTACTTTGTTTTATGGTTTTTTAATTTACGTTTTTTTCCGGTGGCGGTGGGCGGAAATGTCACTGATAGTCTAAATCTCAAGATGATTTAAAGTTATTTTACATTCATGTCTTATACTATTGATTGCATTACATATCTAAATTGATAAATGTGAAACTGTTCCCTAGCTCTATCGTGGGAGTCAAGAACCTGTTTCGGATTATTTTACATTGGTCGTGTTACCTAAAGTTTGTGATTTTGCCGTCATTTGTTAAAACAGTAAGCTTTCAAGTGATGGGCTGAGGGAGGCCATTTCTCAGATTAAGACAAATTCTGAGACAAAGAAGAGGAAGTTCACTGAGACGGTTGAGCTTCAGATTGGTCTGAAGAACTATGACCCACAAAAGGACAAGCGTTTCAGCGGTTCTGTCAGGCTTCCACATATCCCTCGCCCTAAGATGAGGGTTTGCATGCTTGGAGATGCTCAGCATGTTGAAGAGGTGAGTTGGCACATCTCGAACTGTTTATGAATTTGTTGACTCTGGATGCATTTGTGATAGAGTTGAAGCTAAATCTGTGTATCCTATGCTTTTACCACAGGCAGAGAAGATGGGTTTGGACTACATGGACGTTGAGAGCTTGAAAAAGCTTAACAAGAACAAGAAACTTGTTAAGAAGCTTGCCAAGAAATACCATGCATTTTTGGCTTCTGAAGCTGTCATTAAGCAGATTCCTCGTCTTCTTGGCCCTGGTCTTAACAAGGCAGGCAAGTATTCCTGATTATTTGCTATTCTGTATTCTCGTTGTTGGACATTTTGATTTATTGAAGTGGCAGCTAACACTAACTCTAGCTTTGTGTACAACTTGCAGGTAAGTTCCCAACCTTGGTGAGCCATCAGGAATCTCTGGAGGCAAAACTTAACGAGACCAAAGCTATGGTGAAGTTCCAACTTAAGAAGGTTCTTTGCATGGGTGTTGCTGTCGGCAATCTTGCTATGGAGGAGAAGCAGATTTTCCAGAATGTGCAACTCAGTGTCAATTTCTTAGTTTCACTGTTGAAGAAGAATTGGCAGAATGTAAGTTATTTGCTTCATCCTCCTTAAATCATTTGGGTTTTTGAATTATACCCGCTCTGTACTAAGTTTTGGCTCTCAAATTTACGGATAACAAACCTTAAATGCTTATTTCATTGATCCTGTTGCTAGTATATCTTTATATTGAACCATTTGCATTACTATATTTTCTTGAATATTAATGTTGATAGTCGTTTTATTTCATTTAGTCGAGCATTTGAGCTGTAAATTGTGATCTGTTCCGAAATGAGATTGGATTGGCATTTGAAGTCTCGACTTCTAGTTGAGTATCATTTGATGCATGCTTTTATCTTTTTTACCCTTTTAATTGTACTTATGTATGTTGCCCTTTTGTTTGTATGATCAAATAGGTGAGGTCTTTGAACTTGAAGAGTACGATGGGGAAAGCTATCCGTATCTACTAAGTTCATAATCTTTATCAGAGACTTTCCAAGCGAAGGAAGCATCGGCAAACTTTTTTTCTAAGACATTTATTGCATATGTTTCAGTGTTATATTTTGTTTTCATTAACTTTGATTTCGTCGTTAAACTACAATGAGTACTCTGTTGTTTTAGATGAATGCTTTTGGAAAATTTTGAAGGAAAGTCTTTTTCTCTAATGTCTAGTGGATGGTGAAAGGTTACAATTGGGATGAAAGAATTAGGGTTTTCAGAATATGCTTGTTTCTTTTCTTCACCTGTATTCCGAAAGCCATAATCCTTTCATCGTAATGGACCCAGTTGTAATGGGGACTTCGACGATGAATCTGGATGGAAGGTTTCTTTCGGTTGGGTTCCCGTTTGTTCAACCGAGTCCGGGAAATGCACTTTGAACGATTGGCGATGATCTTGCCTGATGATATTCCTTTGTTAACAATGTAGATTACCATATGTGGATTTACTTGTGGGATAAACGCATCTTAAGCTGTCTTTGTATGGAGTCTACAAAAGCACTTTTGCAAACCTTTTGTTTCACCATGAATTGAAAGAAAGAAATTTGGCGAGTGCACTCGTCTACACTTGAATCCATAAGACAAACATGTAAATGCAAATATTAGTTTGCCGTTGTGGAGAGTCGAATATGAGACTTCCCACCGTAGTGCCAATTGGTAACAATCAAATTCTAGGTCGTAATTGTTTTTTCGCTTTTTTTTTTATCGGATAGAAAATCAAACACGGGACATTGATTTTAAGAGCGAATGTTCTTAGCCAACTGAGCTATAATGCACTTGCATACAACTTTGCAGTAAAGTCACCCACATCCAATCACATACCAAAGTCTTTGGTTGTTGGAACAAACTTTAGTGAAGTGATTTCCGCACATCCATTTTCTTCGCCGCTATGCTCCTTCATTTTTCTCTGGTATTTGGGTTGAGTAAATCGAAGGAGAATCGAGGGGCGGAAATGAACAAACCAGTGTAAATCACTTCGTTGAACTTTACAATTGCGATGGGATGAAACTCATTTCCAACTTCATTAACAGCTTGTAACGAGTAAAAGATGGCAAACAGTGAATAACAAAAATTCCAAGTTAGAAAACTATAACTCTCAGACAAAGGCAAGGGATTCATAGAACTACTGCAACAACTGACCGTTTGTGATTCTGTATCCGACAAGGACTTTGAAGATCGATTGAAGGAATGTTTGCACTCAAAATATACCCATTTTTACTTATTTGGGCAATTTGGGTAAAATATGGTATTTGAAGGATTAATATGCAAGAAAACTAATCTGGAGAGATATTTGGTGCAAGTGGGATAGGTTTTACACTATAATATTGTTTCTCCTATTTGTTTGGGTGGTGGAGGTTTGTCTAGCCTTTGTTTAATCAAGATACATGCATGTATTGCAAGTAGATGGAAAGGCATCAGCAAGCTTTCGGGCAAGAAACATGTGAAAGAAGCCAACTTGCTTCTTTTAAATGTTAGTTTATTACAAGTGGGAAAACATGTGATGAAAGCATGTGGTGGAAATGCAAGTTCCTATTTTAATATTATTTCTCCATGCAAGTTGGCAAGTGAAATACAAGCTGCCCAAGTAATGGAATACAAACTGCCCAAGTTTCTTTCGGGCAGATGCAGTGTCCTCAGCAGGGGGTTTCCTCCAAGACCTCTATATAAAGAAGCAGATGGAGAAGGATTATAGACACTCAAAACAACCAATCAAAACTCTACTCAAATTAGCTCATCAGCTTCCTTGTAGACATTTATTTTTAGCCAAGCATCCTTTGCTTTTCTTGTTTATTAGCTCTGCTACTCACTTGTAGCATCGATCTTATTTGTGGCTTTTATGTACAACCCTCTTTCAGTCATTTAATCCACAAGCAATCTGCAATATTAGTCACTTTCCTCTGTCATTTATATTTCCAAGCAACATTGTCATTTACATATTGTTCTATCTCTCCATATAAGTAAAGTCCTTATTTTAAGGCAAACAAAGAACCTTAATTTGAGTAACTCCCACTCAATGGCACAATCTCTTAGTTCAAAGTCAAACTCAGGCGCAACCTCAATCATTCAAATCCCGTCTACTAGCGGCATCTAGTAGTGGCACGCCCGCACCCCACCAATCTCGTATGTGAGCAAATCCCGGCATGCCCGCAAGGCACCATGGCGGATTTAGGGAGCAAACAAAGGAGCTTAGCACCCGAGCAGAGGACCATCAGGTCTTTGTAATACAAGATGATCGCTCCGGGAAGATTGTCGCAACTGGGAGTGTGTTCATTGAGAGGAAGTTCATAAGAAACTGTGGCAAAGTCGGGCACATTGATGACGTTGTGGTTGATGCCAATGCGCGCGAAATGCAGCTAGGGAAGAAGATTATTAACGCCCTTACGGATTATGCTCATTCGATGGGGGTGTTATAAGGTGATTCTCGATTGCAGCGTTGAGAACAAAGCGTTCTATGAGAAATGTGGCTACAAGCAGAAGGAAATTCAGATGGTGAAGTACTTCATATGAGAAGCATTCTTAATTCCTTGTAAGTTGGCTTCTTGCTTTTGTTTCTTTTCGCTTGTGCTGTATAAACAAAGAGTTTCGGAGGAAAAAATTCATCCGTCATAATTTAAACCTTGCCATGACAACATTGAAATTTCGATCGGGAGTTTTATGTAGTGCTTAGAAGTGAAATCTGCCCAGTTAATTAGTTCAATCCCATTTTTTCAGCAGAACTTAGAAGTTGAAGATTGTTCGAAACCATCTTTTGTTTGCCACGACAATATTATATCCTTGGAATGCAGAAGAAAATACTATCAATTTCCAAGGGTTCGTCTATGTGTGAAAGGTATGTTGAATGAAAGAAATGAAGAAACTGTGTCCGACTTGAAGGTAGAAGATGGATAATTCATTGAGGGAACTTTTCCCTTTGAATCCCCGCGTAACGGTAGGATTATTCATGCTTAATCCTACAAATAAAAAGATCATTCACCTATACCTTTAACGTACATGCTTCTTTTTCTTTTTGTATGAGCTATCCGCTACCATTTCAAATTTGAAAGCACTCTCCATACTGCTGTGAAACTGCAAGCAGGCGGGCTGTTGAGTAGCTGTTTTGGACTTATAAAGGAAACAAGGTTTAGCGGAAGAACACTACTTAGCTTCTTATAGACAAATAGTCGTTTCATCTTACATATCGACTACTCATATAAACATACATTAACCTAATTATGTTTTTTTATTTTTTTATTTTTACGTGTAAGAAGCTAAATGTTCTCAACAAAAACTAAAGTTAAACTGTAAACTATTCCATAATAGATGGAAAAACATGTCCAAACCAACTTTTGTGCATTCAAAATGCTAGCGTTAATACTTTTCTGTGCGCATGTGAACAACTGATAACTATTAACGCTTTGATGAATTACCCAATTAATAACGCTTAACACGAACTCATCTATACATTATAGTACATTCAACAACATTGTTTGGCTTCTTATACCTCATTAAACGTAAGTTACAATTTGATACATGTACTAAAATATCTCATTAGAACTACAAATAGAAATATTTCCATACACATGTCAAGATCAAATTTGTCTTAAGGAAATCATGACTCCTTATAAGTAAAAAGAAAAATATTTTCGGAACGTACTAACCAATTTTTCATTAATAATACGTAGTACAATAGTACGAAAAATATGACTGAAATTGAAATAAAAATTCAATAGTTGTAGAAATCAAATCTAACAGTACATTTTTGCTGACCATCCTAAAGTAGTGGTAACGTCCTCCAACCTATTAATTACTGTTAGATTAATTTAAGTTTTGAGATTTATGAGAAGTACAAAATGAGATTTTTAGATCAGTTATCTTTTCCAAATTTCAAAAGCTCAATAATAGATAATGACGTGGTGGAAGCTGATTGGTACGTCGAATCATGACACTGTGGTCGCCTCCACATGCAAATACCTACTCTCCATCCTTACGCACCAAAAAAATTAGTCGTTTAGACATTTTAACGAATACCTTTCCCCTCCGTTTCCGGCATCTCTGTAACCCTAGACCCTAAAATCCCAATTTCTAAATCGACATTTGAAATTAATTTTTTATTTTTATATGAATAAATACTGCAACTTTTCTATTTGGTGGTGAACGTAGAAAACAAAACAAATAGAAAATAAATAAAAATGGCGTCGAGCTTGCACCAATGGGAGTCGGACCCTCTGTATTCCGCGGCCGAAGTCGTCCAAGATTCCGCTGACAGGTTAATTGCTCCTACCTTTTTTCCTTCTTTCTTTAATTTTAATATGCATTGGAAATTTGGAAGCGTTTTTCTTGCTTTTGGGGAAAGAAAGGCAAAAACTTTGACTTGGGCTGAGAAGAAAGTTAATAAAAAAAAAAAGGTGAAAAGTATTATTTTTGAACTGCTGAATTTGATGAACTTGATTTCTGAGCTGGGTTAGAATGTTGGCATCTGAATTTATTTTTTTGTTGAAGATCTTTGTTTGGTTTGGGAATGATGTTGTCTATCACAAATGGGACTTTATATTCATCAGAACTTATTTTTCTTGTGCTTGTCGAGCTACCCGAAAAGTCCAAGTGCGTAGTATTCATTTATGTGCTTGTCTTTCCTTTCCCAATGTGGAAGTCCGCTATAGATATGGTCTCACGTGAGGGAGTGTGTTGGAAATCCCACATCGGGAGTTTAACAGAAGAACCGAGGCCTTTTTGGATGAAACCCCACTCCTGCTGGGCTAGCAGGCGGTTAAGTTGGGGACAATTTTGGTGTTGGACCATTTGGCCCGTCTCTCTGAAACTTTGACAGTCCGAAACATCAACTTTTGAGAAATGCCAGTAACGAATAAACTGTAAACCTGCCCATTTTTACTTTCTTCAATATTTCGCTTTTTCGAAAAATAAAGGAGCTTACAGATTGATAATTCATTGTTGTATAAACATAAGGAACTTTGTTTTTTTTGTTGTGGATTGCTTATTGTATTTGCTGTTCTGTGTTTTTATTATGTTGAGTAGCTTATGAGTAGTCCATTCCCTGAAACCAGTGCTCATTTTGTTTTGGTGTTTTAAATTTTAGGATGGAATCGGTTTTCCGCTCTCTGCTGCATGAGCTCAGTCTTGTTCAAGGTGACTGTCCAGACCCAAAGTTACATGTGTCAATAGATTATCACAAACGCGATCTTGCTACTACACTTGAAACGACAAAGTGGCAGGTGGTAATCTTTGTACATGTCAACTCTTTCTTTCTTCATTTTCTTTATTTTCTGCTTAGTTAGGTTTTAGTGATTCTCTCCTGCCAGTTGGAAGACTTTGAAAGAGCAGTGGCAGGCAGGTCTCAAAATCGGGAGGATGTAAATTCAAGACACAAGCAGTTATCGGAGCCATGAGGGAACAAATACTTTATGTGGAGAAGAGCTTGGAGGGCACACCGATAGGAGATCCCATGCGAAATACAGAGTGGGTTAACTTGAATGAACAAGATAGACATGGTTTGGCATTGTTTCTTTCTGGTGGAAATAACGCCGAGCCCACTGATGGTCAAGAAGTGGAGGACAGCAGTATCTTGAGAAGATTTCTTGATCCAACCGCATCTAGTGCTAAAGACAGTACTTCTGGTATAGATGAGCACAAAAACAGAGAAATTGAGGACTTGAATACGAATGGAGTGGTGCATGTGGACCGTGTTATTGAATCTAGAAAGGAGAACAACTTGAGTAAAGTTGGTTACTATAACAGATTTGGTGAAGGTGGGAGTTGGGACATCGGCAATACAAGGTTGAAATCTGATTTTACAGATTCTTTTCCACAGACCTCTTGTAACAGATATGGAGGTGGTGAGAGTCGGGATCTGGAAGCTAATGAAGCCAAACCTGAAAGCTTCAGCAGAACAAACATATTGGGGTTCTTGAATACTGCATGGAGTGTGTATGGGAGTAGGGTCACTGGGAGCTATACAAAGAGATTTAAAGATGGAGAAGAACAAAGTCATTCCCCATCAATTGCTGATGTTTCTCATGCCGCTCAGGTAATTTGGCAATCAGAAATCCGAAACTTTTAACTATTCACAACTCTTCTATTTACTCTTAAATCTGTAATTCAAGCGTCACGTTTTCTTTCTTGGATAATTAAGAAGATTCTTGAATTTTCCAATTCCGTTAAGTATTGCATGTTCATTAGTTCATATTCTTCTTTAGTAATTAGCTGTGACTTGAGATCAAAGAAGGAAATACTTGTAAGTTCTATCAAATTTTCAGTGTTCCAAAAGGATTGTTGTGTGATTATATCTGATTCCGCTCTGTATCCTGAATCATTTCATTGTGGAAAACTTGGTTTGGCTATGCTTCAGCCTAGATGCTTATGGGTTTGCTTGTCCTTGACAGGTTCAGCATCAGGGAACGTGGTTGTATAGAAATTTTAAAGAGTTGTGTATGGGGATCCGGACAATAGTTATGTACTTACGGACCTGGCTTGGTGTATTTAGGGCAAGATATGAAAGATCACCTTATCACATTCAAGTTCAGCGGCATTCTATTCACGTGGTATTGATAATACTACTTTCGCTCATTATTTTAGGTGAGGACAGATTACTTAGTAATATTGTCTGCAGTGCATGTTTGTTTCCTTGTTATTAACTGCATTTAGCTGTCGTTCGAACCATGTGATTGATTGAAATTACTCTCGTTTTAATTTGATTGGGACGGAAACTACATAGGAAAACCAAACATGTTATTTCCCCCTTTGAAATTGTCAATATTAGTATAGTTTCATCTGTGCTTTCTTTTTAACTCTGCTCATCACTCAGGCACACTGGTGTCCCGGCTTGCTTAAAGACATTCGTGGTTTGGGTACACTCTACAATCTGTACATGCAAAGGGTTTTCTCAAGACATTTTAACGTGGGAAGAACTGCTTTTTCGCCATCTGACCCTCTTATCATGGTCGGATGCAAACACTATTCAAACCTGGAGAAATTGTGCACCATTGGGCATCGCGTCATTACTCGAGTGAGTCTCTGACTGTAAGATGTATTGGTTTTGTGATCGTCGATTCTGCTACAAGTCTGCATGATTGTTATGTCAAGAATGGAGCCGTTGGAACCAGTCGATAATGGTTTGGTTTCTGCAGTGTGTAAATTTGTGGTTACTCGAGTTATTATGTTGTATTTGGTCAGAACGGGGTCAGCTGGGGTCGATCCATTGTTTTCCAGTCACCATAACCGGAATTCATGCTGTCTACATTTTGATTGGTGTGGTAGATCCGCTTCAATAATACTTGATCTGGAGGAAAATTGATAGTCGTGACATTGCATAACATTGCTATCGCGAGTCTTACATTTCAGAGCAAAAGAAAACGAAACCCGAGCTGAACAGCAGATTCTCAATTGTTCGAGTTTCCTGGATATCAAGTGTCGTAATGACAACCAATGTATTAAAAGGAGGAGGTGTAGGCGAGGCGTTCCATGGATAGCCTTGCCTAGGCATGAGGGGACCTTTGGTCGTACCCAGTGCACAAGGCTCCCGCTTTACGCAGGGTCTGGGAGATGTTCCAACATTCTTGAGGAAATTTCAATTCTTGAAGACAAGTTTTTCAAGATTTATGGATTTCTTTTGCTTCAAATTTGTTAAATTATTAAACTAGAAGTTAATCTTGTTCAAATGTTCTCATAAGAAAGCATATGAGAACGTGACACATCACGTGTTCGATGAAATGTGTCTAAGTACTGCTCTTTTGGCAGAAATGCAAAGTTGTGAAAGCCAAATATTTTGAGTTAGAAAATTTAGAGGTGTCGTTAAGATAGTACAAGTGGTTGGCACAATAAATGCCGGTTTGAGAGGCCCCAAGCGGGGAGGCCTATAGAAAGCGGTAGAGACCTCCAATATACGGGTCGGACGAATTAGAGAGAATAGAGTGAATGTATGAGTTAGACACTATTTAGCCTTGAAATCAATATTGAGGCCAACACAATGAATGTAGCTCAATTTTTAGGCGTGAACCACTTACATTTTTGTTGAAGGGTTTTACGTTTTACGCTTTACGCAGGGACCTAAATAATTTAATATATATTGTATATATAATTATATATTGAGATTAGAATACTGAAAAACTTGAATTTTGAAACAAATTATGGTGGTTTGGGGAACTTTGAAACAAATTGAGGTATGAGATTGGAGTAAAATTGAAATATAGGATTGAGATTGAGAATTTAGGGTTTGAGGAATAGGGGAATCGTGGAATTGGGGAATTGGGGATGGGGTGAAATATAGCAGAGAGAATCGAGTATTGGTTGGTGGAATATATAGAGAAAATGGGATATTGGGTGATGAAAATAGCAAAGAATTGGCAGAGAATGACTATAGTGATTATAAAAAAAATAAAAAATTAGACTTTGCCAAAAAGACATCGTTTTGAACCAAGTCATTTAAAAAGAATTAAAAGATTTGGCCAAAACGACATCATTTTCGGCCAAGTCTATAAAAAATAAAAAAAACCTTTCTTCTCCCTCACGCGGTCGTCTTCTTTGTGAAGACGCCGTTGCAACATAGTTATAGAGCATAGAGTTTTCCAGAACATTTCAGATTTCAAGCAAGATTTTGGATCATAGGAACACCCAGTCAACGCCTCAGGCGCGCCCCGACGAAGCCTAGGCGAGTTTCCCCCCAATCCAAGAAAACAGAGGTGACAAAGCCCCACCTACAAGGCCGCCAGGCGCGTTTTTTAAAATACTGATGACAACTGGTGCAAAACAGTATAAATACGTCTCAGCGCAAGAGAAAACGAAACGCAAGATGAACCAAAAAACAGTATTAGTAGAAACAATCCCGAGATGAACAGCAGATTCTCAACTATGATGGGCTTGTTTCTAACACTCAGTATTCTATTAGTTCGTTCGACAAAGTTAACAAAGTGAGAAGCTAGTATCGGCCCTCTTTTTCCCTCTCAGGTGACTTTCACGGCCACGGAAAGCTACCTGTGTCCGATTCTGCAAATTCCAGACACAAGGGGATATGCCGAAACATATACATGAGCCTCATGATCCATAGATTCTTTCGTGTGTAAAATAGTTTTGTTGTCCACCTGAGATCCATATTACAAGGTTTCTTACTTTCTTCCCAGTTGCACCCCACCAGAACTCCAGAATGTCAATCTACATTTCAAACAAATGCTAATACCACCGAGGGTGCGTAAGCTTGCCAATCGACAGCTTGAAGCTCTAATATTCTTGAGGAAGACCACTGGTAGCTCTCCCTGTAACAAAAAATATAATTGCCTAATCAGCATGTGAAAAAAAATAAAAATTTGACGAGATTCACTGTAACTTAGTAACCCTTGCGTTCTTGAATCCTGGCCTGATAACTGTTTGTTTTAGAGAACCGTGTTTCAAGTTCACCAACAAGTAGACATACGTCAAATAGAAATAAACCTAGAACATCTGCTCTTTTGATCCATAGACTACTAAAAGGAGTCGTCCAACTGATAAATATACCAAATGCCCTCAATTTTCGGGCACTCAATGAACCAACCATACCTGCAGTGGCATTTGTTTACAAGATACCTAGAAATGCAAATGGTATTTTCATCCAAGGCAAGAAATGTATATACTTACCATTTAACAGTAGCCTCTTCTCAATCTGACTTTTCGATTTCTCGAAACCTCTTATCCCATTCTTGGGCTTCATAGTCTTGCTCAACCAAATCCTTGTCCGTGCTATATACAATTCTATCCTGCCCTATGAATGTTTTTTGGGCCATTTCCCGAGCACTGAGGAGCTGAAACATCATACAGAAAATATATAACTAAATATTGTTTTAATCATTGAAGGAACAGAGTTCATCTAGTTTCCGTTCTTTGTTCCTTTTTCTTTATTTCAGTTGTCTTTACATCAACAAGTACATGGTTACCTTATGAAAAATCCTATACCTTGCACCCTAAGACAACCTCATGTGTGCGTTCAAGTGAAGAAAACTACCGCTATTTTTTAGTTTGAAACTTCATATCTTACAACAGTTAACAAATGCAGCATTGCTGCACTAGTATGTTCAACTTAATTTTGAGTTAAGAAGATTGGTATGTTTTCAATGGCAACGCAATCATTAAGAGTTTGTTTTCCTCAAGCAAGTATAGGCCTTATGCATTAAGAGTGGGAGGGAGGGAGGGCTTGATCAGCACTAGGTGAAATTTCATTTATAGATCTCATACCTATCCCCTACAAACTAGCGTGCGAGACTGTGAGTACAAATTTAAATAATGACAAAGCACACAAGTGCAGTTTGAGATAGAAACCATTAATCAAGACAATCTAGAGAAGCACCAATTTACCTTTCTTCTAAGTGAGATATCCGGCAATTCAAGGGATCGAGCAAACTGCTGTCTTGCTTTATTTCTTTTTTCTATGTCAGCGTTTGTCTTAAGCAGGAGGAACCACCGGAACAAAGGAATTGCAAAGAAAGAACCAGCATAAATCTGCAAAATAATTGTGAGGCAAGATAAAATCCAACTCAATAGTGCCTGAGGATTTAATCAGGTCTTCATATAGGGAGAGCTTCATAAGAGGGATCCCTATCCACTATTCAAGAGAAGGATTGCGTGTGAACCCAACCATTTAACAAAAAAGTACAAATTCTTGATTGCAGGTAGGGAACTTTAATTTGTTTGAAATCAATCATACCTGAAGTAGTGGAAATATGCTATTAATAAACTCAATAAAACCAGCTGGTGCAGTTGTAGTATCCCTTCAAATAAGAAAGCGGTGGGCATCAGAGCAATATAGAGTAAAAATAACCAAGCAATTACAAAGTTCAAGTCATACATACTTTAAGATGGTTCCAAGAATGATAACCCCAAATAAATTTAGTCCACCAAGTCCAGCAACCATTGCTCTCTCAGAAATGCTAGTGTTACTGCAAACACAGAAAACTTGATTGTTTCATTTTAAATTCCAGATGAATTCACAACATAATCGGCAACAACAAACATAATAAATGACCTGAATTGCCACTTCTTCTCCTGGAAAAATTTGTCAACACCTCCAACAAAATCAGCCCATCTTCTCCCCACATATTCCTTCCTTCCACTCCTCTGAGAAGACGCTGTGCGCTGTAGAGATGGAAACTTGTACAGAATGTTTCCCTGCATCATAACCAATTTTTTTATGAATGACAATGTAATATTATATTGTTTCATCTATGTAATGAAATCCAATATAGAAACGGAACGATTTCACAATTTGCAAGCATGTACCAGGCCACGGGAAACAGAACCTTATTTATCCAACAGTTCTCATCTCTATATGTATATGCAGGGGCGGCACGGATCGGTTTTCATTCGGTTTGACACCAAAAATATAAGCGAACCAACTAGATTTCAACGGTTTGGTTTTGACAAATACCACCATTGAAACCGAACCAAACCATTGTTAATTGTTTTGATTCGGTTTGGTTCAATCATTTCAAGCCTATCCAACACATAAATAAAAAAACGTTCAACATTTCAAGAGTTTTAATCTTCTAAACATCCATACATCTCACCCATTCCAATTCAATTGAAAAATTAAATTTTGGGGAACATGAAAAGTTCATCAAGTCAAATAGAACTAAGTTTCAATTAAATAAAAACTCATGCTAGCGAACGATTTACTAATTACAACCTCATATAAGCATAAAATACATATACATCTCCTAATTGTTAATAGTCATTACAACTTATAATATATTGAGACTTATAATATGTATTTTGTAAGGCCTCAAATAATCTAATACGTTGACATGTGGAAAATAAATTAATAATTAAAAGATACATGGTTGATTCGGTTTGGTTTTGGTCGAACCAAATCAAAAATAAATCGGTTCGGTTTTTAAATTGTTTGACTTTTTTCTTTCAAAACCAAACCAAACCGACCAATATGGTTTGGATCAGTCGACTGCCCACCCCTATGTATATGGAGAAAGAAGACAAAATAGAAGCCATTTATTTTAAAACATCAACGTTAAACATACCTCTTCATCTATGATAGGCTGACCCTCATACCTTAACAGAACAGGTAAAATGTATGTTTCATCATTCTGAAATTAACAGAAAGTAAAATGTCAAGCAGCGTAATAAAAATTTAGAAGGAAAATGCTGAATATAGTAAAAGAAACTGAAAACTTCAAGGCCATGTAGAGTTTGAACCGACTGAAGTGCTCAATAAAAAGCCAAACCACACAAAACAAAATAGGTGAGCTCGACAGCTGTTTGGAAGCTTTTTCATTTACAAAGAAACAAATAAAAGATCACGATTATATACATTATTGAGTATGAAGTTTTGAAGCACCATTTACTTGAACAATTTTTGTTTGAATCTCTTATGAGGAATTATGCAAATGTGATTTGACTTTACAGATGAAAGTACTTAATACTTTTACTTCAGCACGGATACAACGCAATGCATGCTGAACTTCTCCAATATTCTGATGTGTTAAATTAACTAACCAATGGATGCAAGTGCTTACTATTAAAGGTCGTACCCAGTGCACAAGGCTCCCGCTTTACGCAGGGTCTGGGAGAGGTGAATGTCGGCTAGCCTTACCCCCATTTATGGAGAGGCTGCTCCCAAGTCTCGAACCCGAGACCTACTGCTCATGGGCGAAGGCACTTGCCATCGCACCAAGTGCGACCTCTATGCAAGTGCTTACTATTAACCGTAAATAATCTAATCTCAGCTGGAACTAGTACAAATTCTCCAAATACAAGAAAAACTCCATTACAAGAGTTTGGAAACTCAAACGAACATGACAACAGAAAAAAAATATATATATTTACCAGAGTATCCCCTGAAGATTCTATCAAGATATGGAGCAAGTTCTTCAGCTGCAACAACACCACCTTTAGAGGATATGTATTGTCCGATCTGCATTTACAATTCAAGGGATAATTTTGTCATTATACTTTTATATATATCTATCATAATTTTTAATGACAAAAAATAAAGAAAAAAAAAGACAGTTCCAAGATAATAAGTAGCAACAGACTATCAAACTTTAGGAATAACACAAAGAATCACACAACTAAGGAAGTTCAAGGACTATACCACAGGTGGATGACAGTTTCTGAGAGAGGATCCCCAATTACCTTCAGTATTTGTGAAAATCTTACATTTTCCAATATCACATCATATAGTTTATATATAGCTTTGGGAATGTAACAACAGTTTCAAAACAATCATGACAATTCCCAAGCACAAGACCAGCGCAGTTCTTATGTTTTGATCTAGTCAAAAAGCTATCCGCCAATTACACAATCCCCATTCCTACAACTTCCACATTTTTACCAACTGAAGTCATAGATGAATTCAGCGCATTACTTTAACCTAACAATTCCCTTTTTTCTTTCTTGTTTTTGGATTTTACATATACACATGAAAGAGATTGTTGTTAAATAAATATAATGCTTTAAATGATGATTAAAGTTATAAACTCCTGTATTTGACCTCAACAAAAGCTGTAAACTCCTGTATATTTCTTTCCAAAGTATTAAATCAAGGATTAACATAAGAATCTATGACAAAATACCATATCCTATCTCAAAGTCAAGCCTAAAAGGTCTTTGCAAGATTTTAAGAGGGGGTACTATGTGAATGTAGCTTGATTGAGAGAGAAAGAGGGAGAGAGAGTTATGAATACCCCAATATGCTAGTTTACTCTGACAAGACAGAAATCTAATTGCATATAAAAGCATACAAACACAACCAATGAAATGAAACAAATTGTTTAAAGCAACGAACCACTGAACTCAGTGCTCGATTATTACCAACTTCCATCTCTCTTCTTCGATTCCTTGGTTCGGATCACCATCGCCAAATACAAATGAGAAAATCTAAAAGACAACATCATAAAGTCAATACTTTCTTCTTCAAATACAAAACTAGTAAAGAGACGATAGAAAAAGAATGATCAAATCCATTACATACGGATTCAACGAAATTCATCTTGTTATCATCTGTTTGTACTCGTTCTGTTTGTACTCGTCGCCTCCTATAGTAATATGGATCCCAGTACCTTAATGAAATAAATAGTAAACAAGGTGTGAGCAAAAGTCTCTTACAAGTTCCAACAACTAAAATAACTAAATCTGAAACCAGTCCACAGTATTATGAAAAACGTACTTAACAAGGAAGTATAGAAGAAGGTATTACCAAAAGAGGTCACCGGGATTCATGTAAAAAGTGAACCCTGAATCATATGACCTTCCTCCACGTCTTCCACGATTGTCCTCTTCACTGTAACCAAAATACTAGTGTCAACCATTCTGCCCATAAAGAAAACATTTAACAATAAGATAATAATATTTACCCTGGAAACTTACCTTCTACCAGAAGACAGAGCAACAACAATTGCAGTATAAACAAGAACAATGGAAGCAATTAGGGCAGTTCCAAACGAAACCCTCGCTACATACTCAACCCCAGCCTGCAAAAACGCATTATGTTAGCTCCAATTGTCAAACATTATAGCCAAAAATTCCACAAAGTTACTACCTTTGCCTTCTCAAGCACAGGCTCAACTCTCATTCTAAGCGATTTTCCTAAAAGCTTCGCCCGATAATCCTTGGGGAAAACGTAGAGCACGTCGCCTTCATCCGAAACCTGTTGGGACCATCTTGAAAAGAACAATTGCACTCACCCACAAACGAAAAAATAACTAAACAAACCTACAACCCCCATCATTTTCTTCGCAAACATTTTAGAAAACAACTACAAGTTCATAAATTTTTGAAAATAACTAAACAATCCTACACACCCCATTCATTTTCTTCACAAACATTTTCAAAACAACTCCAAGTTCTAAACTTCTTTTGGAAATAACTACCTCCAAGAATCCTTCAGTGTCAGCAGCGAGGGCTTGCAGAGCGTTCTGAGCTTCGTTAAGCTTGAGCCCAGCCCGGCCAGCCACGTCACCAATCGTCACTCTCCCTCCACAAGCGTCCACAGCTTCCATCGCTCGCTTCCTCACATCCGAAGGCAACTTATCGCTCTCCACAGCTCCGCCGGGCCTGATTGCAGCGCTGGCGGCGTCGAGGCTCGACTTCACCGCCGACACCAAACCCCTAGATTCCCGAAACTTGGCGCCAAATCCGGGGAAAACGGGCGTCGGGTGGAGACGGAAGGTTCTGGGAGGGTTGGGGAGGAGTGAGGATTTGAAGATGCGACGGCGAGGACAGTGGGGCTTCTGCGGAAGCGTGAAGCAGGTGGCAATCGACGCCATTGACGGATTGAATTTTGGTTCGGAAGTTGTGTGGGTTTTTGCTAAGTTGTTGTGGCCATGGAACTCTTGGCGAGTGGCTCAGAATTTGCAGAGCTTCGAATTGAACCTGTTGGACTCTTATCGAGTTCGACCAACAAAAAAAAATAAATTAGACAAATATTAATTCGGAAATTTTTTATTAAAAACTGTCACCACTTAGTATTAGTATTCTTTTTTAATTGTAAGTGGGGTGTTTTAAGTTCGATTCTTGTTAAAGGTTAATATAAACCACAATGTTGCCTGCCACTATCATTTATCTCGCAATTTTTTTCCAAAAAATTTAAAGTCATTACTAAAAAATGAAATAGAAAATATAGCAATTGGTGCAACTTTTTTTCATCTTTAATTATGTTTTTTGTGTGAGTTTATAGTTTATCACATGTATATACAACAAAAAAGTTGACTAGTCGAGAAAAATGCGATAATATAAATTATCAATCATGTAACTATTTTGAATTATAGTAGTATTTATGAATATGTTGAACATGTTATGCTTGACTTTTCTCTCGGTACCTAAACTAAACTTATGGTATTTTAACTAGAAGTTTTGTTGTAAATTATATTTAAACTAAAAATACTTCGACAACTGTAAGTTTTATATACAAATCTTTGATTAGAAAAAGATGAACGTTACATTGTATGATCCTTATAAAGAGTTCGATTAATTTCTATATTATCAATTAATTTTACAGTAAAAATTCAACTTCATTCACCTCAAATGTTCACTTGTAATCATGTGTTTAAGTTTGAAGTGTTTTTAATATTACCAAGGGCTTAAAACCTTGTATGCGCAAAACCCTCCTGAACTGATGCAGTTGTAAAATTTTCGGGAGTAAATTGTAAAAATTAAAAACGTGGTGGCCAATTTGAAGGAAAAAAAAAACCCAACCTTGGGTGATTTGACATAAATACCCCGTCCTTCAGATACAATACGGAACCCAAGTCACTCTCTTATTCTTCAACCTGGACTGAAAAGCAAAAAAATAGAAACTTCGGCGCAGAAGCAGAATGAAAGTTGAGACCTTCAATGCCGCTTTCTCTTCCGATGTTCGTACATTTCACAGGCTTCCGAGTTCTTCAATTTTCGGCGCAAAAAGCCCTAAAATTTTGACTGCCAGACCTTCCATGGCCTCCGGTAAGTATATTTCTGCTTCCGTTTCATCTTCTACTTTGGTATTTACCCTTTTCATGCAGTGATTCAACGCGCATTTTCCCATTATCTGGTGCAGGATTCACCCGGCGGCTTTCGATCTATTGCGCCGTTCGCTTCCGGCCTTGCATTGACATACACAAGGTACTGCAACTTCAGTTTATCACAGCTCATTCTTTTGAATCATTTGGGGTTTTCTGTAAGTCGGTTATATATGTTTTTGTGATGAGCTGAATTATCTTTCTTTTGGGATTTCTGTGTTTGTTATTTGATTTTTACTTCAGGGTAAAGTGAAACAAATTGTTGGGTCTACCCTTTCGGATTCGAAGGATGATGGGTCGTTTCTTGTTACCAATTTTGTGTCGGATAAGTCCGCGGCGGAGTATGCAAAGATGTATAAAGAAGATGGGCTTAGAGGTGGTCATGTGATCATGCTTGGAGCTGACACTTTTAGTAGAGCTGCAGCCATTGAAGCTTTGCATGCCTATCCTGGTGGGTCTATTGCCTGCCTTCTTGTTCTTGTATATTCTGTTGCTGTTTTAGATATTATTGAACAATTGTCGGATCAAATGATTATAAGTAGTCGTCTAGTAATTATTTTGTTAATATTAGAGAAGTGATTCTTATTGGATTCATCTATCAGTTTTGATCTTGATGTGCAGTTCAAGAGGTAGTATTTGGCTGGATGAGTGTAAATTAGATTAAAAGATTGTTACTTAGCTTCAGATACTTAGCAATTCTGCAAAAAACATCAGCGTCTAATTATTATTGCAGATACTGAGATTTTCAAGTTGGTTGAGTGCCTTGGGAGTATGCTATTTCACTTTAATCTCTATTGTTGATGATATGTTTGGAACTTACAGATTTTCCTCTGCTGACCTTGCTGCGAGGACTGGTATAATCCAGGTGGCTTGCAAGTAGGAGGTGGGATCAATTCAGAAAATTGTTTGCATTACATAGAAGAAGGGGCTAGCCATGTCATTGTCACCTCCGTAAGTTACCACCTTTTTTTCACCTTTTACACCTATATATTAAAGAAGATTTATTTAGATCAAATTGTGTCACGAAATCATTTCTTTACGTTTGGCATGGTTTTTTTTTTTGCAGTATGTATTTAACAATGGACAAATGGACCTTCAAAGGCTTAAAGATCTTGTTCTTGTTGTTGGAAAAGAGAGGCTTGTTTTAGACCTTAGCTGCAGAAAGAGGGTATGAAGCTAATGAAGAACGAAACCTCCCTTGTCATTGTCTATTTGTTTATTTTCTTTTCAAGGCTAAGCAGAGTTATTTATGTACTTTCATCTTAAGCAGTTTTTATGTGTATTCGATTCGTTGTAATCCGAGTTTAATGAAAATTGAGATCATATTGGTGGTGTTTGACTAGAGTAGCAATTTTCACAGACAATTGCAAATCTTCATATCAGCACTAAAAATATCGAATCATTATTAAAGTTTTTCTTATCCTTAATGTTTTCCTTCAGTATTTTTTACTACCTATTTTCTAGGCGTTTAAATGGTGGTCTTAATTTTCATATATGAATTGCTTTAATGTGCAGGATGGTAAATATGCAATCGTCACGGATAGATGGCAGAAGTTCAGTGATGTGAATCTTGATGAGGAAATATTGAATTTTCTTGCCAACTTTGCAGATGAATTTCTGGTACATGGTGTTGATGTTGAAGGGAAAAAGTAAGTCAAATATGTTGCCATTTTATTCCATCGCCACAACAGATACACTGGTCCAATTGAATTTTACAATATTAATGCCTTAAAAAGAGGTTTCGACTATAATTAGTAGTTAAAGGAAAATGATATTCCATAATGGAATTAAAAATTTCTCCTTGCCTGAGAAATCTATTTGGGGCTTTAGCTCTCTCTGCTCTAGTTGTGAGAACTGAGAAATACAATTTTTAAAGGTCTGTGAGTTCGATGCGTCGTGTTCTTGATAAATGCTTTTCTTTTCTTTTTTCTTTCCTATATCCTTTCTTGTTCCCATTCACACTTTTTTTCTGATATCAAGAATTTTCCCCCTATTTACAGATAAAACTACATCACTTTTGAGTTTTGAGTCAAATCCACTATTCAAGTAAAGGATGGATTAATTTATAATAATATGTTTTTTTTCTTCCATTTCTGATGGTAAGATCCAATTTTGAGTTTAGCTTCTGCTATAATTTCATTTGAAGTTTATTGCTAGCCGTAAACTTTAGAATAACCATACTGATAATACATCTGCCAATTCCAGATGGTCTACTACGTTGTTTGTTTAGTTAATTACTATACTTTACTTGTTGAAAGCTTACAATTGCATATCAGTATGAGTACCATCCCCACACCCCCAACCTGACATCCAATAGACAAACATGTTTATCCGTTGAGTTCTAACAAATCTTATTTTTGCTTATCGCAGGCTGGGCATTGATGAGGAGCTTGTGGCGTTGCTTGGAAAGCATTCACCGGTTGGTAACTTTGTAATAAAATGGCACATTTATGTATTTTGCTAACTGCACAGGTTTTTAAAGTTCTATAGGGTTGTTTCTGGAAATGTAGCTCCATCTCGTCATTTCACTACTGTTGGCTGTTTGGTGTTCAGTTGAACAGAGTCGAAATATGTTTTTATTCCTCACATAGATGACCTTGGAAAGACAAAGAACTGATCCATGATTGTTGTGATCCAAATCATTTGTATAGTGAATGGTTATTCAAATGCATATGCCCCATCGGTACAAAGCCGTCAAGCATGAGACTTTATTATTCTGATTAAGCCAGAAGGCTTGGGGCTACATGCTGCACTCATGTTATGGTGGAATCAGGCATGGGGAGCAGACATTTTGAAATTCTTATGTTCATGCATTGTACATGTTCAAATTACTTATAGGCTATGTTTTTGGGTGCCAGATTCCTGTAACTTATGCTGGTGGTGTGACTGTAATGGCTGATTTAGAGAGGATTAAAGTGGCAGGACTGGGACACGTAGATGTTACTGTTGGCAGCGCTTTGGATGTTTTTGGAGGCAACTTGTCATACAAAGACGTCGTTGCTTGGCATGCCCAGCAGGAGGCCTTGACTGTTTAGTGCATTTCTAGTATCTTTCGGTTCTGTTCGCGCACAATTTGGACATCTAGGTTATTCTGGTTTCAGTTCTATGTGTGCACTATTTTGACATCTAGGTTATTCTGGTTTATGTATTTTGAAAAATTCATTGCATAGGAGAGTTCAGCTCTTTAACTTCGAAAAAAACCGCGTTGTAAGTTATGAGTAGAAGCTATTATTTTTTAGGAAAACTAATGAAAAGGGCTTGAAAACTTTGAGTTTTAATGATAAGGACAAAATAAAGGGTAAAGTGAATAGTATCAGGATTGACTTTTTAGTGTAAAAATGTGGTTTTTCGTTAAAGTGAACAGTACCGGGTGCTTTTCGTTAAAGTTCCCTTATTTTTTTGGGTCAATGAAAATTTGCATCTGGATAATGCGCCGAAACAGAGTTTGGAGCCTTAAGATACAAATCAAGATTGGAGCCTTAAGATATAAAATTAAGCTCCGAGTTTGTCATGTATTACTTTTAGGCTATTTTTATTCATGGTAGATGATTTCCATGCCTTTTCATTGGGGATAGGAAATGAAAATTTTCTCTATGTTTGTTAGTGATGGGAAGGAAACATAGTTTTTGGATATAATAGGTAGGTTTTTTATAAACTAAAGTAATTAATGAATCTCCAATGGGATGCAAAAAACCTTGAAAGATGTATTTTTTAGTTGGCTAGAAATCTCTCCAATGACGAGATGTAAAATATTCATTTTTGTTGGAAAATGTAAATAAAAACGTGTATCTTTATTTCCTAAATTTGCTACTTCATATACCATATTGGGATTGAGAGCCTTGACATGGCTACAATGCACAACTTGGGGTTGAGAGCCTTGACATGGCTACACT